AAAATTATATTTCATATTAAATGTAATTATTTTTATTGAAGTTTTTGTAATTTTACATTTTTATAATTTTTTATTTATGCGTTTTTTAATTAACACAACATTACGTCTTGAAATAATTTGGAGTGAAGTAGAGTGTGTAGGTGGGAACTAAAATGGAAACCGAAAACTGGAGAGAATTTTTGGACAGCATCGAAAAAAATTGTGAGACCGCAATAAAGGAAAACCATATCAAAGTATTAGACTACGCTTTGACCTTGCCGAAAAAGTTGCGTAATCGTGTATCTGCGATTATCCCATATAAATATAAGGACTTTGATAAGTATGCTTTTTTCATAGAACCAATTAAAAAGCAAGTTGACTCTGATGATGAAGCAGAGGAATATAGCAGCGATTCTGATAAACGACAAAAAGTAATTTTATTATATATTTTTTGAAGGTATATCTTGTCCACAATAAGAATTATTTTAATCACAAAATAGGCGTCATTTACTGAAAGCGAGTGTTCTGAAGTTGAATTCTTAGAAGAAAATCATAAAGGTTTCACACTAGTTTTGGAAACGCCACAACAGGTAGAGGAAACTCAATCGAAGCAGTCAGTAAACTGGCAAACAACATATCTAAATCAGCAACGTAAGGATCGCATTAAATGGAATACAAAAATATATGATATGGAAATACCGTTATTAGAGAAGACTTTGGATGAGCAGGCTGTAGAATTAATGGATGCGGTGAGTGTACACTTTTCATTACAAATACTACACTGATAACGACAAATGCAATAATAATAATATACACTTTCTTTTATAGGCGGCAGAGCGTTTTTGTGATTGGTTAAATTCTATTGGCACTCCTAACCTAGAAACCGCACTGACGAAGGAAAACTTAAAGACACTTTTCGCCATTGAAGCAGACAAAACATTTTTAGCCACGATACAAACCAATCCAAAGCACATAAAAGCGTTGCCAAAAACTGTTGCCACCAAATTAAATTTACCAGAGGTGGGTAATGCGGTGCATCTTAGCTCAGACTTACTCACATTTGACAATAATTTACACATTCTTTTTACTTTTCACTGCAGAGCACGCTCGAGTACAAATACAATAAAGCAATTAAGGACCGACTAGAGGAAATACCAGAGAAATATTCTGCTGTTGCGTTTGGAAGAACAATACCAGTTTCACAACGACCATGGCTTCCTACTACAAGGCGGGAGCCCATCACAACTACATTTCCCGAAGATATTGCTTCTTTCTCAAAGTTATTCAAGGGCATTAATCATCTCAGTACAACCCAAAAATTGGTCGATTTCTATAAGGAGCGTCCTCATTTGGAGAAACCTGCTTATTTGGTAAAGATTGGAGAATTTGAGCGTCAACAAGGAGTTGTCGAAAGGGAGGGTATTCCACTCTACACAAAATTGAAATTAAAGTACTAAGAATATCGCAGTTTTTTTTTGAAAATATCTTGGCATATAACAAAATCCGATGTATCTTTTACTAAATATAAGCAAAGTCTTGTAGGCTATCGATGCACAATCCTTAATTAAATCAAATTAACTTTGTAAAAGTGGAATAATTTGTATCAAAATTGTACTTAATAAAAATTTTTAATGCAATTACTGGGTTTTAAATATTATGTTCCTCCAAGGCCATAATGATTCACTAACATGTAAGTTGATCTGATATACAAATCATATAAAAAATTAATTAGATTTGCAGGATGTGTATTATAACCTAAATCTAGCGCGTGTTGTGTATGACACAATTCCGATTTCACAGGAACGACAACGGGTTACAGTAAAGGCAACTTTATCCATTGCTCTATACGAAGATATTGCTCAATTTTTGAGATATCCGGCTTTAAAGGTGGAAATTCTTATATGGATACCATCAACAGTAAATAGATGTATCTACTTGTTACATACAATTGAAGAGCAATAATGAAGAATACAATAAAGAACTTATTTAAAGAGCACACATTTATTGTAGTATATATGTAAAAGGGTGGCAACACTATTTTATTTGTGGAAGCTAGTTGTCGGGAGTTCGAAGTAATATCTATTATCTCATAAATATTTATACCATTATATACTTATTACGCTTATTTCGATATTATTATATAAAATATTCTACATAAATGTTATGTAATTAATGTTTGGAAAATATTTTGGTTTTATTTTTTTTTGAATTTTATACGATATTGACCATGCTAGTCTAACGCCTTATGCAATCTATCTGGCAGTACCATGATTCTATACTTATAAAATGTTTTGCTTACAAAAAACTCATTAAACTAATTTTTCACCTCTTCCTATGAAGAAAAGGTTTTATCGCCTAAAAAATCATATTCCAACCGAAAAAATATTAATTAGATAATGCCAGGTCTGGAGAATATGGGGGGTGTAAGAGTCTATCGCATCTAAGTCGTAAAAGCTTGTGATAGGTTTTTTAAACTTCTATGGGGTCTATGACGTTATCTACATATTTTCTAATCAATTTCGCCATTTTAATTAAATCATTCAATTTGTCCAGTTTACTATAATACACTTCAGAATTGGCCGTTGTGTTGTCTGGTAGAAGCTCAAAAATAAGCATTTCTTTGAAATTCCATCAAACATTTTGTGGTGTTCGGGTTTTGAAATGGATCGAATTAGTTTATCTTTTGTATTCCATGATCTGTTGCATTAAACATTGTTGTAGACCACTAGTTTCTCATCTCCATTGATGATGCGTTTTAGAATGAATTATTTTCTTGACGTTTGAGAAACAAATCACTGTTAGTTGAGGAATATATTAGTATTAATATTTATGGTTTTGTTTTTCATAGTGTTGTTCGAAAGCGGTATCATATAAGGATACCAAAACTGGCACAATAGAATAGGATGGGAATAATGAAAAATATAAAGTGCGAGTGGAAAAAGAGATACGTGAGATGTCACTAGTTGTATGCCTTTCTGTAGATAGAAATCTGTAGTTATCTTTAATGCGAATGTTTGTTTATTTTTATAATAATAATTATTATTATTATTATTTTTCTTATACTCTTTCTTACATCAAAATTTTCACTCTTAGATAAAAAAAATGAAACCTAATAATGACGTTGAAAAGTCTGGCAATGTATGTATTGGTTAAGTTACATCTGTTATGATTTTGGATGTAGTTTCATCTTTCACTGGTACGTTGAGACGATCATTCGTTGGAATATGAGTTAATGTTACCAATACAAATAGAATGTTCAGGATGATTTATAAATGCGATATCTGATTAAGAGACTAGATTTAGGCGTTATGGCGAAAGCATTATATTTTTCTATGATGCTAGAAAGTGTCAATTGTTTAATATAAGAAATTTTAAAGTTTTGTGAGTTTTTATAGAGATGATATCTTCTCTTCTCTCACAAGAATAAAGTTAAATTGATTGTTAATATTTTTGTGTATCTGTATATATACCATTTGATCAAAAAAGAACGAGAAGTTAAAAATCACGCAAAATTTTAATTTTTAATAATTCTCTCTTATAGCGAATTCTCTTTTATATCCTCTATAGTCTCAAAACGCTTTTCTCGCAATGGCAATTTGAGTCGGGGGAAGAGAAAAAAGTCACACGGCCCATATCGGGAGAGTAGGGTGCTTGGTTGATGAAATTGGTGGAGTTTTTGGGCAAAAACTGAGACGCAACCAACGCTGTTTTAGTCGGTGCGTTATCGTTGTGTAAAATCTATAAGTTTTCTTTCCATAAATCTGGCCTCTTTTTGCGAATGGCCTCATGCAAACGACGCAAAACGGCCAAATAATACTCCTTATTGACCGTTTGACCATTTGAGGAATTCATAGTGCTCCACACCACGAATATCGAAGAAAACAGTCAGCATAACCTTAATTTTCGACCGACTTTGGCGTTCGGTTTCAGCTCATCTTTGAAGCACCATTCGGTCGATTGTTGTTTGGTGGGCATGTCAAATTCATAGACCCATGTCTCATCACTAATTATGATGAGATTATGATGACCCATGCGTTGAAAATCATCTCTCTGGCCACATCACAACAACGCTTTTTTTGAATGAAATTCAGCTAAAAATAACCACACGAAAATTTTTCGACTTCTTTGTACAGACGCCAAACAAAAACTAATCATACGATATGCGTTAAACTTTGACAGAATGTGTATAATAGTGTTGCCAGCGTGAAAATAAAAATGTACCTATTGTATAAGCGCGGGAATTCAAAAAAAGAGCGAATAAGTTCTTTTTGATCACAAGGTGTACTTTGTATTTTATAGCTAGAGTTAACATGGATGGTGTTTTTATATTTTTAGTACTCAATTCAGTTAGTTCTAAAGGTAATTAGGCATTGAAGAAGTATTTAATTAGTTTTAATAAAATTAGGCTAATGAAGTACGTGGGAGTCACAGGTAGAACAAAAATATACCGCTCAACAGGTTTCAACGTCATTCGATACTTGATTTATCATAGAAT